TTCAACCCAAATATTCGGATGTGTGCAGCGCATTTTATGGAGGACTGTTTACTTATCCTGGTAGAGTAGACTACAATGCCGTCTGTTCTGACTCACAGACTGTAAGTACGTTTTCATATTTATAGACTTTGCTACTGACTATTCAAATGCGAGTTTTGAGCAGTGTAGAGTAGCCTTGTTGTTTGTCATTTCTCTGATCACAAATGCAGACATGGTTTTATGTTTACACAGCATGATACGCAACTCAACGTGTAAAAAGACAGTATAAGTCATTATAATCCATAATTATGTCCCTACTGGATGCAACGAATGCCTCGTTTGTAATGGGTTTTATTGGTTTTGTCTCGTCGCGCCGGGACACGCCATCACAGTATGGTAAGGGGCGTAACATTTCTGTCACACGCTTGAGGTATTCGGCCAATCATAACGCACTGGATAGCTGGCCAATCACAGCACACCTCGCTTTTTCAGACCGATGAGCTTTGTAAAAATCGACGCGTTTCAGAAAGGCGGGGCATAGAGGAGAAACAATAATGTACAGTATGTGGAAAATAATGTGTTTTTTTAACCTTAAACCGCATAAACACATTTCATTACACCAAATACACAAAATGTTCTTTTTAGCAGCATCATATGACCCCTTTAAGTTTACATTTTTTAAATATTTTATTGTGTATCAGCTTTATTTCAATTAACAAAAATTATTTAATAGTTTGTTAACAATAGCAACACTAATTCGTTTCAGTCTCGTACATATAGTCTCCATATTGAGCAGTGCTGTGTATGTTTATGTTACCCAGGCGTACCTGCAGATCACATATGTTGAGCCCTTCTTCGACACTTACGAGCTGAAGGAGCGCATCACTTACTTTGACAAGAACTATAACCTGCGCACGTTCATGTACTGTACACCGTTCACGCTGGACGGTCGGGCCCACGGCGACCTGCATGAGCAGTACAAACGCAAGGCCATCCTCACCACCTCCCACGCCTTCCCCTACATCAAGACCCGCATCAACGTCATCCACAAAGAGGAGGTGTGGGCCGCTTTACTTTTGGAGGTTCCTAAATTGCCTCAAGACCGATTTTCTAAATATGTTTCCTCCTCCCTACAGATCATTCTGATGCCGATGGAGGTGGCGATTGAGGATATGCAGAAGAAAACACAGGAGCTGGCCTTCGCAACCCATCAGGACCCCGCTGACTCAAAGATGCTCCAGATGGTGCTTCAGGGTTGTGTTGGCACCACTGTTAATCAGGTAACATTTTAGATCGAATGGTTTTCCTCCAGTATGTCGGTTTGTTTGTGGATGTGAACCTGTTCATGTTGTCACAAAGGGTCCGCTGGAGGTGGCTCAGGTCTTCCTGTCTGAAATTCCTGAGGACCCCAAACTCTTCCGGCATCACAATAAACTGCGCCTCTGCTTCAAGGACTTCACTAAAAGGTGGAGTGACTTTTGTGAACACATTCTTGCACACAAGCATGCTCACTTTTTGAGTTGAAAATGTTAGGTTGTGATTCATTTATTTTGTTTTTTTCATTGATTAAAAAGCCTACCAATGCAACTGCATCAATTTTTAGGATTTAGGATTGGTAGTGTAGGATATTTAAAAATAATTTTTAGTAAGTATTGCTTGGAGCAATAAATGTATTTTACTGCTTAAGATATATATTAAGAAGAAGTATTTTGAGATTTGTTAAAGCATTTACTGAATCAAGTTCAAACATTCCAGTATATCAAGTTCAATAGGTTGTTTGCACATGACGTCACTGATGACGCGCGCAATGCAGCTGGAGGGCAGGAAGTGATTTTTCTCTCCATAGGAATCGCTAGCAGAAACTCAAAATGCCAGTGTTTTGCGTTGTTTATGGATGCTTAAATTGGCCAAACCGAGAAACCACAAGAAGCTTTTATCATGTACGAAAATGTGTTGTTCATAAGTGGGGAAAAGTCAAGAAATTGATTGAAAAACGCAGGAAAAAGTGGCTTGTAAACCTGCGTCTGCGGTCGGGAGGATAGTTTTGTTTTACGTGCTGCTAACAGGACCAACAGCTACATACCCTGTGCATGCAGCAAAGTTTCAGGAGTGACTGAAAAAGAACGGATGAGATACAG